CTCAACCTCATACTTGCTTCCCATATCCTTGATGTACTTCTCCTGGTGCAGCTTCACCCATCCGTTGCTGACGTCCATTTCAACGTGCATGCCAAGGTAGTAGTTGGCCTCCCCCAAGGTCTTGCACTTGAAGTTTTGCATCAGCTTCTGCTGCACCTTCATCACCTCTTGCTTGCTGCTCCCAAACAGAAGGATATCATCCACGTACACGAGGAACATGACAAGAATTTCCTTCTCCCCCATGAGAAAGAGACTCTCGTCACATGCGCTTGCCCTGAAGCCTATTTCCTCCAACACTGATGACAGCTTCTTGTACCAGCAGCGAGGTGCTTGCTTAAGGCCGTAGATGGCCTTGATCAGCTTGCACACACGTCCGCTACCGTCCTCATAACCTGGCGGCTGCGTCATATAGACCTCCTCGTCTACAAGTCCGTAGAGAAAAGCCGTGGTGATGTCCATCTGGACAATCACCCACCCACACACAGCTGCACCGGCGAGGAGAACACGAAGTGTTGGCGGCTTCGCTGTTGCAGCAAACGTTTCCTTGTAATCCTCCCTTTCCTTTTGATGATATCCCCTTGCAAATAGTCTGCTTTTGTAGACTGACACTGCTCCCTTGTTGTCGGTCTTGATCCTGGGAATCCAGCCACATTGTATGGCTTTCTTTCCCTCCGGCAGCGGCACCGGCTCCCAAGTCCCGTTCTCCATCTGACTATTGTATTCCGCATCCCTTGACGCCAGCCATTTATCCCTGTCTGGTCCGTTAAGTGCTTCTTCCATGGTCAGGGGTTGGGTTGGTGCGGGTGCCATGAAACAGTAGACGTTCTCCTCCTCCTCCTCCTCATCGGAATCACAGCTGCTTTGAAGCACCAGCAATGCGTCGTGTTGCTGTTGTTCTCCCCTTGCTCCTCCGTAATTCTTCAGCTTCAATGCAGCTGCTCGCATCTGACTTGCGATCATGGGTGAAAGAGCACGACCTGTGGGAGGGGACTTGGTTTGGGTCCTTCTTGTGGGAAGAGTGGGGGGAATTACACGGGTTATGGGGTGAGGTTCTTCAGGTGCAGCCTTTGGCTCCACGTCCTTGACCACAGGAAGCTCTGCTACACCCTCCTCTTCGGGTGCCGTTGCACCTTCCTCTTCTACCCACTCCTCCGCAGCAAACCCCATCGTTTCTTGCTCCAGCTGCTGCATGAGTTTCTCCTTTGGCTGCTTGGACCAGCTCCCGTAGGTGATGTCCTCCATGAATTCGACATCCCTGTTGTCAAACACCACTCTTTTGCTCGGCTCCCACAGCAGCCACCTTTTGCTTTCCGCTGCCAACCCCAAGTGCACACACCAAACAGCCGTTGCACCCAACTTACTACGATGTGCCTTAGGGATGTGGGCCATTGCCATGCAGCCAAACACACGCAGCATATCAATAGGCGGCTTCCTCCCAAGCCACCTCTCCATGGGGACCCATGACTCACCACCAACGTTGGTGAACACCCGGTTCTTCACCACCGTGGCGTGGCGCACAGCGTGTGGCCACTTGGAGTTCCCCAACCCGGATTCAATGAGGAGTGCGCGTGCCGTTTCCAACACCGTGCGATTGGCCCATTCTGCTACGCCGTTGGACTGCGGTGTGTATGAGGTAGTGAGTTCATGGATGATGCCCTGCTTCTTCAACGATGCAGTGAGCTCCTCTCCAAGAAACTCCCCAACCCGGTCGGTCCTAATTCGCATCACCTTATGCCCGGACTGCTTCTCCACCAACGGCAGCCAATCATCACAGATGGTGGATGACACATGATCCTTTTTCTTGATAGGATACGCCCAGGTGACTCTGCTCCAGTCTTCAACAATAGTGAGGAAATATTTTTCACCCCGTTCCCCTATCACCGGCAGCGGCCCCACCACATCCATGTGCACGAGCTCTAGAACCTTCTTGCCGCCCCCCTCGGTTGCATGAAACGGGAAGCGTGTGAACTTGCTCAGTATGCAAGTTTCACACTTGTGAGAGACTGCTGCACCAATCAGCTTCAGCCCCTTGACCCCTTCGTCCTTGTGCAGTTGCTGCAGTGCGGGCATTGCAATATGCCCGAGGCGGCGGTGTGCTGTCATCCAGTCCGTTTCACCACCCCGTGCTGAAACCCTCAGCTCCTCTGCAGCTACAGCATTGCACTCCCCCTGTGGACTGTTCCCCTTGCCCCATGCTATCACCGGCAGCTGCCACATGGACCTGCAAATGTCACGGCTCTCATGCAGGTCCCACAATATCCTTGTTCCCAGCTGCCCCTTGAATGTCTTGGCACCATCGGTGGAGGTGCTGACCCCGCTCTTGGCCAGCTTCCGCAGGGAGATCAAGTTGGCTTTCAGGTCGGGGACGAGTAGCACGTTGCTCAGCACCACCGGCTTGCCGTCTGCTCCTTTGAATGCAGCACGCCCCGCCCCCGTCACCTTGAGAGCGTGGCCGGAAGCCGACTTCACCTCAGCAATGGGTGCATTCCCCACTTTGTCAAGGAGCTCGGCCCTTGGAGTCATGGTCCATGCCGCTCCCGTATCCAAGATCCACGTGTTGAGCGGGTGTAGCTCGTCTCCAGCATGGGCGATCACCGCATCCTCTTCCGCTTCTCCAACGTGGAAGAATTGCCCGGTTTCTCTCTCCTCGTGTTCAGCCGGGTCCTCATCGGCGACCGCTCCGGCGCCGCTCCCATCTTGTGACCTGTTGGAGGGGGTCCACCAAGAGGGTTTAGTCCTGCATTTGAACCATGGGTGACCCACCTTCTCACAATAACAGCACTTGCCCTCCATTCTCCCGGGCCCCCTTCCTCCCCCTCTGCCACCTCTGCCTCCGCCATGTCCTCCTCCTCTACCGCCTTGCTGGTTGGAGTACTCCTCATCGTTGGAAGCTCCTCTTCCAGCTCCTTGCCATTTCTTACCGCTACCCCTTGTTCCACCTTGCATTGCATAGCTGCTACTTCCCTCTTCTCCTCCCCTCAACTGACGCCTCCGAAAGTCTTCTTCAAGAATCTTGGTCCGGATCCACTCCAAAGTCCACTGATCCTTATTCTGGGGAAGGCTGAGGCCGCTCGTGAAGATCATCCATGACTCCGGCAGCAGCGACATCATCTTCATACACTTAGTTTGTTCGGGGTAGGTGATTCGTGCGATGGCGAGCTTGGCGTAGAGTTCCCTCATCTTGTCCAAGACGGGCTGAACGGGTTCTCCTTCACTGAGACGAAGGGTGGAGAGTTCTCTCTCCAACATGAGTGTGGCAACAACTGAGGTGGGGGCATGGAGGTCCTTGAGTACGGTCCACGCCTTAGGACCACACTCGTCCTCCGGGAACAAATGCATGATATGCTGGCGCTGCGCGAGGTCTAGACTCTGAGAGAGAATATAGTACCCGGCGGATGAGCGTTCGTCCCAATCGCTTTGAAGTTCCGGGACACTAGGGAGTTCTTCGCTACCAATCATTAGCTTGAGAAGTCCTATTTGCCGAAAGTAAAGCTGCATCTTCCACGACCAGTCATCGTATCCTTCGCCGCTAAACTTGTCGACGGAGAAGTTTTTCAGCACCTCCCTTAGTAGCGGGGTCTGGCTCGTCCGGGCTGTCCTAGGCGCGGAGACTCCAGATTCATGGCTACCACTACTCGCGGGGGCTGAGTTCCCTTCTTCTCCAGGCGACCCCATCGTTGGATACGTCGAGAGATGCTAATTACGAGCTCTGATACCACGTGTTAACAGCTATAGCCTATGCGGAAGCGTTCAGAATCTTGCTACAAGCCTAAACTTAGCAACACTTAACTTCCCTTGAAGCCCTCCGAGTGTGACAACTTGTCACCTTCTAGCCAAGGGCGTAGAAAATTACAGGGAGTAGTTATGCCTCGTTCAGGCTGTAGGACGAATGAACTGGTCGAGCAGCGTTTCGGCAATCACCACAGTATCATTTCTACTCTCGTCAATACGCAGTATCATTTATACCAACCCACCAAAAGCAAAAGCAAACAGCCCACCGAAATGATAGTTAGCACCATACTCCAGAATGCCAACTTTCTCCACGCGAAATCAGTGGCAACATACTCGCCCATGAACGTTTATGTGGGCCATACTTGTTCGTGGAAGCTCGTGGAAACTCGTGGAGATTCGTGGCCGTGACAGCTCATGAAAACACCTGAGAATTCGCGTAGTTACTGACGGAATTACGAATTCGCCAAATTCCTTCTCGCACTGGTTCGCCCAACTTCGAATTGAAATGCGCACGTCGCGAAACACCCTGGTGATGTTTTCTTCTCGGAGAATGAAGACAAAACGCTCGAGGGTCCCACAAATGCAATTGTGGACCCACGCACGCTTGTCCTGTCCCACGCGCCACCTCACTGCCACACTCGCGCGTGTGGCAGAGAATTGAATCGCGGCTTCAGGCCGCGCGTGTGCCTTGACTGGCACACTTCGGCCCTCCCATGATTGCGCCTGAGGCGCAACAAGGCTCGGGCTCATGGCCTCGAGCCTTGACCAGCTCGATAAAATCCGAAGGTCAACATTGACCCCTTCGTGAACACTCGCGATTCTTCATGAGTCTCGCTTCGTCAGAACTCGTGAAAGATTCACGAGTCTTCATAATGCTCGCTCGCCATGAATGCAATATGAATACTCACATAATTTCACGACAGTCCGTCGTGAGCTTTCGTGAATGAAAATGAACTCGCCATGAATGCAATCACATGTGGGCAATACTATGTAACTTGCGCTCGCTGTGCACTTAACCTCAATTGTCATTGATTTCACTTCGTTTCATCTTTGCGCCATAGCTTCTTATCCCACTCGCATTTTCGCACCTATGCACCTCTCTGTACCACCACTCGCATTTTTCCAACCCACTCTCACTCCCAGGGATTAATGGAAATACCGTCACAGGTTCTGTTCCATCTGTGCGCCGTCCCTTCTCTCCTGCTCTCATTCTTACACCACTCTGTACCTCTCTGTTATGTGTTTATCCCTCTGTCACTCACTCACAGGGATCTCAGTGGAAACACGGTCACAGGCTCCATTCCATCTTCCATTGGCAGCCTGGCCTCTTTGAAAATGCTGTGAGTATAAAAAGCACAACGGGTGCTGTTTTCTCCTGATTGGGATATAAGAAGGTGTTTGTATGCCAACAGGGTTAGAAGAGAGAGAGGGTGATTTGCTCTTGCGCTCTCACATGACGACTTGTTGCCGAAGTGAATTTGGTCCGACAAATTCGAGCTAGCCCTCGCCTCGGCCCAAATTGTTGAAGTATATGAAAGCTGAACAGATGCTGGGTGTGAAGTGTTAGGCAGGCATGCATTTCAAATTAACTGATGACCTTTATGACATAAACGTTTCACACTAAACATATGCGATACGGACAAATTGGCTCTGCCTTCTTCCACCTCTTCTTGCAAACTTCTGCAGCAAAGCAAGCTGTCAGGAGAGCTTCCTCCCACCATGGGCAATCTCTCGAAACTCTGCCATGAGATAAACTGGCTCAGCCCTCTTCCACCTTCCATTCTTGCAGAACTCTGCAGCAAAGCAAGCTGTCAGGAGAGCTTCCTCCCACCATGGGCAATCTCTCCAAGCTTTATCAGTTGTAAGCCAATTCTTTCCAAAATCTGGCAATCTCTCCAGGCTTTGGTATTCGTAAGCTGACATATCTACTGACTCGAGTCAGAAGAAAAGGTTTGTCCTCTAACCATGGGCTATCTCTCCACGCTTTGGCAATCAACCATCCTATCAGACAATTTCTCAATGCTTTGGCAGTTGAGTGATGTGAGCCACCAATGTGTTCCTGAGACCCAGCTTGAAGCAATAATAAAACATCTCACACACACCCATTCAGAAGGAGCTTGGTATATTATCCGTGATGAGGTGTCACGTAGGGCTTCAGCCTGACATAGCCGCCACGTTGCATCACACTTGCTGCAGTTCTTGTACCATACTTGTTACACAAAAGCATCAGCCTCACATAGCCACCTTGTTGCATCGCGTCACACTGGTTGGCCTGCTTGCCTGTGCTTCCCAGCGACATGACAGGCACAGAAATCACGTGTCCGAAGGACTACAGCCGCTGCGTGGTCAAGCAAGCACCTTCAAGCATGTTCTGCAAGCAGTGCCCCTTCTGCTCCACATGCGGCAAGCCGGCACCACGTGAGTGCAATCCTGCTGTCCGTTCTGTGCTCTGAAAGTCGACTTCTGAGTTGAATCAAAAGCCACAGGCAGCAAGCTGAGACGGCACAATGTGATTGGGAGCTGATGCACTGCTGCCTGCTCTCTGCAATTTCTGCCACATATCTGTCCCAAGCGAAGGTAAATGGATTTGCAGGAGCAATCGTTATGCCACTCTTGCATGAAAAAAGGCAGATGGATGGGAGAGGGTATGGTGGCTAAGTTGGAAAAGTCGCCAGCCTGGGAAAGCGTACAACGTACATTCGTAGACGAATATACGCTGTACGCAATACGCACGTACATTCGTTCGAAAAAAATCCGGGCTGCCCGGCCAAAAAAGAAAAAGAAAAAGTTCGCGCACGAAATTGGAAAATGCGTCGCGACACACATTGTGCGCACGAATTTTGTAAATGCGTCGCCAAATTGTTCGCACATCCAGAACAATTTGTCGACCCCACCAACACACAAATTTGGCAAGGGGACATTCAATTCAACCGCATTGCACCGTCCGTTACCCCGCGACTCCAGCTCAGCTACACGAATGTCTCCAACCAGCCTACCTCAACTCTCTCATCGAGGACAAAAAGGTAAGTCCCTCCCAACCCTAAACATTCTCATCAGTCACCACGTCCATTCTCTTTCTCCAGTTCTCTCGATCACCTTGCAGCTCTATGATGACGACCCCTACTGGCACTGGCACTCCCGCGAGTGCAACTAGTGGGGTTCCTAGTGCCTCCTGACCGAAAAAAAAAAAAAACCTGCCCGGGCAGCGTATTTTTCACGTATTCTTAAGTCACCCATTCAGCGCATCCCGTATTATACGCAAGCGTATATACGCTTGCGTATAAAATGCTGGGCGCGACTTTTCCAACTTAGTATGGTGGGATGGGCATGCGATGCGACTAGCGTTTCAATGATGTCTAGTGCATGGAGTGCAGATTGGCTGGATTTCATGGAGATCTCGATCTGACTGCATGAAGTTGGGATGTTGCTTGCAAGTGTATACCCTTCACCAGACCACCACTATGGACTAACTACGCAAAGCCATGACCATTGATCTCTAGCACTATCATCCAACGGTCAGCACCTGCTCGACCCCGCACTCTCCTCTCGCACACTAGATTCTTATTTTCTCCCTTTGCACTTTCCGCTTCGTCCTTTGCTTCCTCTTGTCTCACTGTCCGCCTTTCTTCCCGTTCACCAGCACCAGCTGCACTGCCACCACCGCCACCTGCAGCACCCCCATCGCCTGCTCCATCCCTACAGCCAGCAGCAGGTATGCAGAGGGAAGGTTGGAGGTCTGGGAAGGGCAGGGTGCGAGGTATAGAGAGGGCTGGCGGCAGGTATGGGGAGGGCAGGTGGGAAGTATGGGGAGGGCAGGTGAGAGGTACGGGGACGGCAGGCGGGAGGTATGGGGAGGGCAGGCGGGAGGTATGGGGAGGGCAGGTGTGAGGTATGGGGAGGGCAGGCGGGAGGGGTGGCAGGGTGCAGGTATGGGGAGGGGAGAAAAAACAAAAAAGAACACAACATGTTAGATTGATAGAAGGATTTATTTGAGGGTGATGAGACATGGAAAACATTTCAAGAGGCATTCCCCACAGTTTGTTTTACATTTTTGGCATCCCTGTATCCCAGTATGGGGCAAACGTTTGGAAATATGACTTTCAATTGACAGAGGGCAATCTGCCTTTCAATTGACAGAAAGCAATCTGACGTCCAATGGACAGAAAGCAATCTGACTTCTGATTGACAGAAGCAATCTGAATTCCATCCATGTGATGTGCTCTCTAGCTGATGGGCATCGAGTTCATTATTTTTGGCACATTGCCCATTGTCACTCCGCTGTATGCTCACGTTTCTGCAGTCACATTGCTGTACAGTCACATCTCCGCACAGTCACATTGCCATATGGTCACATCTCCGCACAGTCACACTGACATATGGTCACATTACCACCGTACAGTTAAGCTGCCGTACGGTCACATTGCCGTACAGTCACATGGCCGTACATGTACAATACATTAAGTCAAACACGTTTCATGTCAGGCTAGGCGGACCTTTCTGCATGTTCCGGTTCCACCTGTGAACCCGGCTCCATATAAGCCTCTTATGTGTTTGATGCTTCTCCAACTGCTTTCTCGTCTCCTGCCCAACTGCCCTAGCACCTGCAGCACCCATTGAGGCCCCAGCCACTAGCACCAGCAACAACAGCAGCAGCAGCAGCACCACCACCACCAACAACAGCAGCAGCAGCCAGTCGGCAGCTGAAAGCGGGAGCGGGCTATCAGTCGGAGCCATAGTTGGCATTGCAATTGGAGCCATATTCTTTATCCTCCTGCTTCTCTCTGCTGCTTTTTTGTTCTACTTGAGGCAGACAAAGTCGCAGACGTCAACAGGTTAGCCCATGATGACACATAATTCAAATATTACCTATCTGTCTTCCCTTCCGCCTCCTCCCCTCCCCTACCCCCTCCCTCTCTCTCCCGCTTTTTTGTGATCTATGTATCCTTCTTACAAGCACAGTAACTCGAATCACATCTGTCAGCACATGAGCTATGATGAGTTACTCTGTTCTTGGCATATAAGGGCGTTGCATACCTCACCACGCAACATCCATCTCTCCTTCGTACAAGCACAAGAACGTTTATTGAGAGTTCTAATAAAAACCATGCCCCACCACACAAGCAGTTCTTTCCGGCACCCTAGCAGCGGCGCTGTGCACGGAGTTTTCACTTGATGAGGTCTGCACGGCCACCGGCCAATGGAGCGACGACAACCAGCTGGGCTCGGGGGCCTTTGGTGACGTGTACAAGGGCGTGTCTCCCCGCGATGGCACCACGCTGTGGGCTGTCAAGCGCGCCAAGCTCATCGACGTGGACTTGAGGAGGGAGGTAAGCCAGATTTTTCTTCTACATTCACTTGACCCAATTTTCAAAGTCATGAACGTCTCATGTGTTGAACTTGCTGCCTCTACAAGATGAGTGTCGTCAGAGAAGCAGAGAGAGATGGATTACCCTTACACAGCAACTTGGTGTGCCACAATCTGGCAGCAAACCTGCTGGTTTTTGCGAGGTCAGCTGTCTCCCGCGTTTCTAGAAACCCGTTCCAGTCATCAAATGTGCTTTTGCGTGGTACAACTTATCAAGTTCCTCTATTTAACAATTTCTGAATCGTGTATCTTGTGAATACAGATTCCGAAGGGTCTACAAACATCGAGGTCTTACAGATATTGATGCATACATTCCATACTCTCATTCTCTCTTTCTCTTTGTCCCTCTCGTTCTCTACTTTTCTGTTTTTCTCTTCTACTCTCTCCGTCTCTCCACTCAGGTAGGGCACATGGCCAGCTAGAACCATCCCAACATTGTGAGGCTGTTGGGCTTTGCGGTGAGGGGGGACATGAAGACACGCCCAGAGCAAGTCCTTGTCTACGAGTTCATGCCAAACGGCGACCTCCACAAGTGGCTCTCTCCGGGTATGCCTGCTACAACTTCGTTTCAAGCTTTCATGGTGACCTCCACAAGTGGCTGGCTCTGGGCATGCCTGATTCAATGTAGCCTGTCAAGGTGCTTTCAGCTTCCATGTTGCATGCTACTCCAGTCCAAAACATGTGTCTTCCATTCCATTCCCTCCCAGTTTGTGCCCAGCGGCAACCTCCAGAAGTGGCTATCTCCGGGCATCCACAATTCAGCGGTTCGTTTGATTTTCCGTGTTGCATGTTACTGCATAACATCTTCTGTGTGTGTGCTTCTTGCAGGTGTGCCTCTTGTGTTAGAGCCTGCAGGAGCGGCTGGACATCATTGGGGCGGCATGTGGCTTTGAGTACCTCCATAGATTTGGCATCATTCATCAGGCATGATAATCCATAACACCTTTCCCCCATGTGTGCCGGTTTCAGGGGCGCCCTTTGTGCTGACTCTACAACAGCGGCTGGACATCTTGATTGGGGTGGCACGTGGCTTTGAGTACCTCCATGGCTTTGGAATCGTGCACCGCGACATCAAGCCTGCCAACATCCTTCTTGACAAAGACATGCAGGTAGGTTGTTGGCACATACAGATGGTTAGGTGCAGATGTGCTTTAATTAGAAACCAAGCTTCACTTAGGCACTTCTACTTTGTACCAATCACAAGCTTAAGTAACTCACTTATTTAATTAATTCCAGACACAACCATCATACGTTGTACCAAGCACAAGCTAAAACAGCGTACTTATGCCTAGTATCAAACATAAGAAAAAGGAAACACATTTAAACTTAGTACCAAATACAACATCAAGTAATGCAACTGCTGCATGAGACAAATATCATGGACAAAAGGCTTTCAAATCTGTTAACTACGCTTCTCAAGCACGATTTTTCAAGCGCCTCAAAAAGGAATGAAGAAAAGGCTTTTATATTTGTTCACTACGTTCTTCGGGTACTCGCAAGTGGCATTAACGTTTTGCAACATATAAAGTATTAATGAGCCAGGGTGCACTTATCTTCTACTCTTGAAATCGTTGTGAGTGATTGAGATGCAACGGACTGTCGACTGCATGTGTCACTTGTTTCTACGCCTGCACCATCCTTCAGGCCAAGATAGCCGACTTTGGGCTGGCGAGGGCAGAGGAGACCAGTGATTGAGATGCAATGAATTGTCGACTGCATGTGTCACTTGTTTCTATGCCTGCACCACCCTTCAGGCCAAGATTGCAGACTTTGGGCTTGCGAGGGCAGAGGAGGGCAGCTCGGTGGGTTCGACCCAGCTGGTGGGGACACCGGGCTACGTGGATCCCGTCTATTCCAAGACATCCAAAGCTTCCACTGCCACCGATGTCTACAGGTGATCACAGTGATCTACCATCTTCTAGGCTAAACTTTCTGATTTTAGGCTGGCAAGGGCGGAGGAGGGCAGCTCGGGATCGACCCAGCTGGTGGGAACACCGCTCCGATGCAGCTCGTTGCTGCGTCATGGCAAGGGCGGAGGAGGCCAGCTCATTGCTGGGAAAAAATATACCAGCTCGTTGCTTACCTTGGTCTCGGTCATGGCATGCTTCTGACGCAGCATAATGTCTTGCCATTCTTTTAAGGCATCTTCGTTAGAAATATGGAATGGCAGCACCTTAAAATCTCGTGCCATGCTTCGGTCATCCGCATGTCTTGCGATGGCAGTTTCAGAGTGCTCATGCTTGTGGTGATCAGTGGGCGCAGTCCACATCCTACCATGGGTATGCACCTTGCATACAATGCCCATGTCAGCACCTTGCATCTACTGCCCACATTCAGCTTACCAAGACAATTCACTCGTTGCCCAGTGCCTTGTTCACAAAGAAATGCTTAACTTTTTGAAGAACATCAACTCTGCTGTTGTTGAGGGCAGATCTTCCCATTCATTACTCTGTTAAACTGCCCATGTCCTTGATCCTTCAGGCTGGGGAGTGCATCTCCTCACACACGGTGGCCTGCCTCAAGGACCCCACCGTTGACGCCCCTGACGATGCCGTGCTGCGCCTGGCCAAGCTGGCAGTTTACAGACTGTACCTTCCCACGAAACCCCACCCCACCCACACACTTGGAATCTTTTCACATGCGCTGTACTTACAGCATGTGCGCGCCGAACCGTTTTGCCTCGCTGGAAGACATCGCACCAGAGTACGATGAACCTAGTTCAACAACTGCCCAATGAGAACACAGACAGCACACCACTGCTGGCACGGTCCACACCAACACGCCATAAAATATGGCAGTGGGGTGGGTGGGGGTGTTGTCATCTTGCCTGGAAAGACGGAAACCCAGGACCACGATCCCTCGCCATGGCGGCTCGGGAGAGGGGGTACCCCCATCTGCTCCCTCATTCTGTTCCTGCACTCGTCGTGAACCCCTGCAGGAAGTGACGTTCGAGCTCAACCTGGCAGTAGCTTCTCTCTCAAGCTCGGCACGCTCAGCACAGCTGAGCAGCCATGGCGGATCCAACGCCCGCAGGTGACAACCCTGAATCCGTCCCAGCCACGAAGCCAGCCGCCCTTACTGGCCTAGACTTCTTACGACGAGCTTCAGCTGCTCCCGTGTTAGTCTCGCCATCAGCTCCTACCGTTGTTTTCCCTTCCTCGGGCCCCGAGGCACCTACCATCTGGACGCAGGGCGAGTGTTCGACGCATGCTGGCGCTGCCGCATTACCTCGTGTCGCTGCCGCATCAACTCTTGCCGCTGCCGCATCAACTCCTGACGCTGCGGCATCAACTCCTGACGCTGCCGCATCAACTCCTGACGCTGCCGCATCAACTCCTGACGCTGCCGCATCAACTCCTGCCGCTCCCGAACCCACACGGAACCGTCATCCTGTCGCTGCCGGAACTACTCGCGTCGGACCCCGTCTCAAAAGGGGTATCAAAGTGACGTACCGCCAAACAAAGATCAACTGGGGTGCCAGTCAAGCTACGCCAACGTCTGGTGTGGGGAACTCCTCCCCGGAGGCCCGACAGCGTAAACAGAAGAGGAAAGCGGTTGAGGTTACCTCCGAAACAGAACTGCCCGACATAGCCGAGGAGAAATACCAGGATGCCTTATTTATGTTCAACAAACAGTGGTCTGACGACTATCCGTGGCTTGTTCTGTGTCAGACGAGTGCAGGGTTCCCGTCAATCAAGTGCTCGGTCTGCATTGCGCACGGCGGTGTGGGCACGAACTTCGGCGCCAAAGGAGAAGGGGCGACCGATGTGCAGACCCAGGCAATGCGGAAGCATCAACGCACAAGGAAGCACCGCCGCGCTCTGCGCAGACAGAGGACAGCCGAGGCGGCGCCCAAAGCTAACCGCCGGATTGACGACAACAAGAAGGTGAAAGACGTCGAGAAGGAGCGCCTGCTCGCGCTATTTGAGACGGCGCTCTTCATCGCTAAGTCCGACGCCCCGATCGAGATGTACGTCGACCTCGTCCAACATCTAGCGCAGCGTGGCACACCGGGCTTCCCAAAGAGCAGTTATGGTGCCTACTACACGACGTAAGTGACACTGCTCTAGTACATATCGTCGGGGGATGTGATATACGTGAAGCTATCACTAACCACACGCGTTGATGCCCGTGCAGGTACAGATTTGAAGAGATCACCGCCGCAATAGCGACATACCTTCGTGCGCGCCAGAGAGAATTCATTGATTCGAGTCCATTCATTGGTCTGAGCTGCGACGAGAGTACGGACCGCGTCAAAGGGAAGCACATGATTATGTTTGTAACCTTTCTGCGTGAGCATGCCGTCACCACAGAGTTTCTGACTAACCTCTTCGTCGAGAAGTGTGATGCAGCATCTCTTTATGCTAAGATCACGGGATTCCTTGACAGTATTAGCCTGCCGCTGGAGAAGGTGGCGGGTATCAGCACCGATGGGGCACCTGTGATGATAGGCAACGACACGGGCCTCGTTGGGCGTCTTCGACTGGAGATCCCGCACCTGGTGGCTTCTCACTGCATCGCACACAGATAAACTGTTGCTGTGGTGGTGTTGTTGCGATATGAGATGTGCAACGTGGTATGTCGCAGTGCGAATTCTAACACCCCCACCCGTGCATTTCTACCCGTGGCAGGGAAGCGCTTGCTGCAAAGGAGGCGGCTAAGGCACTACCCGAGCTTGGCATAATCGACGCGGTTATCCGCGCAGTGGCGGAAGATCTCGGCAGATCCAGCTACTCCAACCGCAAGTTCAAGGAGCTGCAGGAAGTGTTCATGCATACCAACCTCGACGTCCAGGGGATCCACAGCGTCCGCTGGTTGAGTCGCGGCGATGCAATCGCACGATTCGTACGCGTTCTGCCTGCTATCATCGTTATGCTCGAGGAGTCGGACAAGACGATGTACCACTTAGTAACGTCGTTCAAGTTTCATTACTTCCTGTTCTTCTTGGCAGATGTGCACACGGCACTCAACGCGCTCAACCTGCTATTCCAGAAGCGACAGGTGAGTTGTTGAGTTCCGTTTTGCAGTTCTCTTCTTCTCCCAGGTACTTATCTTTTGTTTCGGTGTACCAATTCTCCCCCCACCAACAGGTCGACCTCACTGCAGTGCACTCCCAGGTGAGGCGGACCATCATCTACATGGAGCAGAGGTACCTGAACTGTGGCCAGCAGTTTGGCGGTGGGACCAGCGAGCTGCTGTCTGCTTTCCTCGCGCGGCACGCCTCGCCCGACTGCCGTGAAGTGACTGTGGAAGGGGTGGACAAGGAGGGTCAGCCCCGTGTACACAAGTTCCAGCTGCACGAGGAGGCAGTCAAGGGATACACCACCAGCAGCGGGGACATGCAAGGCTGCTACACCTGCTGCCGCTCATTCGCCCGCGAGCTGGTGTACAACCTTGAGCTGCGCTTGGGAGACTTGACGCGCTTGAACGGGGCGAAGCTCTTCATGCCCCGCTCGTGGCTGAGGGGCGTCGAGGCAAGGAGCACCTGCACGGCCTCGTCCATCTGTTTCAGGCCAAGAACCGGGACACGATCTTGCCTGGTGAGCGAGAAATAGATCCCCACTGACCTGCGTGTATGCATTGCCGTTTCCGTGGTTGCGTTATTCCCATGTTGTGCGCTTGAGTTTCTACCCTGGTTGTGCTCAACCCGTTTCGCAAGTGTCCAGAAGCGTGCGGCACGAGCGGAGCTGCGCACGTTCCTGCCGGTGCTCTCCACTGCCCCCAAGGAAGAGCAGCCATTTCACGCAGGTTTGAAGGCCATATTGCAGACCAACGACTGGCAGACCAGCTACCCCAACTTAGTCCGTCTGTGGGTTGCGGTCGCTGTTCTGCCTCTCAGCACAGTCGAGTGCGAGCGCGGGTTTTCCCGCCAGAATGTGATCAAGTCGTGGCGCCGGACGAGTCTCTGCAACGCTAAGCTGGGAGATTTGCTGGCAATGAGTCTGCTCGACTACGACATGGAGTGGGATAAGGTGCTGGACATCTGGCGGAGCACCAGGAAAAGGCGCCCCAGCAAGCGCAAGGAGCAAGCTGCGCCAGAGAAGGAGCGGGCCAAGGCCAAGTTTGTTAAGGGGAGTGGCCGCCGGGTGGTGGAGGAGGAGGACCTAGACGAGGGCATGTGTGGTTCTGCAGGCGATGGCAGTGAGAGTGATGACGATGCCAGTAGCAGTGGTGATGATGCGAGCGTTTCTTCTGATGAAGACATGACATGAGCTAGTTTATTAGTGGTAGATTCAGCCAGCATGCGGTATTGGTGCTGCTGTTTGTCACAATGATAACTTTGGACGCATCCATGCACTGTTGCATCAGCTCTGTTTTTTTGGTTTTTTTACACTGCAGGTTCAGTTTAGGAAAAAAAATTACACTGACAGTATCAGTATAAAGAAAACCACCAACGCTGATTTGGACACCTGGTTGGCAGGGGCACGCTGATCCATCAGCATACCCTCAAACCAATCTGAGGGCCTGCCGCTGGCTCTTATATCTGAGGTGATCGCCCGTGTATATTTTAGGCCCCGAAACCCAGGAGATTCTTCGTACAGTACATCTCGCTTCAAAGCGAGATTCGACACTATACTGACTCATCAGGGCTGAACCTACAGCCTTATCCTGAGTTTCCAGTACGCAAAATAACCGTTATACTGAAACTACAGGACAATTATTCATGTTATGCTGTTTTCCCAGGACTAGCACACGACACCTAACCTGAATTCAGGAGAATCAGGATTAATTATCCTGATAATTGAGGCCCCCGCATAAAAGACCCCCCGCCTATAATAAGCGCATGCGGTTATCATTGGCATGTGGCGCTTATATACAGTCATTGATTACACGCGCCACCCAAACTACTTATGTATTGTAAGCGCTACCCCCTGTAGTATTTTTTAGGTTTAACAGAAAACGTTGCTAGAATACCCTTCACCCTCACTCGACTCACTGCTTGCGCGTCCAGTCAGAATGAGCTGCCATGGGCGCAAATGACTCATGACAGTGGCCCTGTTCGACAGGCAGCCTAGCCTTTGGAGGACTAGTGTTAGGCCAGTGTTGAGAGGAGTTTCCGGAAGTAGCGCCTCCCAAGAAGATCGGAAGGAGAGGGTCGTCAGGGCGATGCTGGGCCCCTCCTTCCACCATCTTCACCGAGGGCAGGATTCAAAAGTTTGCATCGCGTGCGATGGGAACCAGGGTAAAAAACGTTTGGATAAAAAAAAAAAAAACAACAACAAGAGGCGACGAAGTCATCGTAGGGTTGCGAAGCGTTTTGCATAACTAGTATATTTCGTACAGCTTATTATGTTAAGTATGTATGATTTTTTTTGAAAGTGTGAAACATTTTCTAAAAATAATTATTTTGAAAGCGCAGCTGACTGTAGTGAAGCAAGGCAACTGCAAATGCATATCTCCGAGTACATAACGATGGTTGGAGGCCATTTGGCCTCCACCCACGTCTTCATTTCGGAACTTTACAGTTCCGCTTCATTCTCGTCCAACCACTTATACTCTCACTAATTTCCTAATTCACACTTATTTTAGTATGGGGACAACGCTAGAACAAGTGCTGCAGCAGCAACATAACTTAGTAGCTGCTACTCGCGTTAACTGCGGAGGGTACAGCACCGCGCCCGCGATGCACTTGGCGTGCGCACAACCGAGAATGAGCTGCGCATGAAGCAACGGCCACTGGCGCATCAGTGACGAAATTGCCACGTGCGCCAGTGGCGTAAGATTTTGACGAAATCGTCACTTGCGCCAGTGGCGCGCGTGTGTGGCGAAATCGCCACTTGCGCCACTAGAGCGCGTGTGTGGTGAAATCGCCACTTGCGCCACTGGCGCGCGTGTGTGGCGAAATCGCCACTTCCGCCAGTGGCGCGCGCCTGTGGCGAAATCGCCACGGACGAAATGGCCAGTGGCGCGGCAGTCAAGAAACTGCCACTGCCGCACCTAAGGCGTTTGACTGGGCGTCAACCACCAGTGCAGTACCCAATGCCACCTCACAAATTGTTTAGCTGCATATAAATTGTTGCAAAGTTGTTTTCATTTTATTTTTCTTCTTTCCAGTTCTAATTTCTTCTCTCATTGCCTATCAATCTCGATGCTCCCTTGTGGCAGGCACAAGATGGAAAGCCGCTGATTGAAGTTGGACTCTACTAGTCGCGCGGAAAAATTGCAACGACGACAGGACCAACCGCACGCACATCGAAACGAGTTGGCCCGAGAGCCGCCCCCAGGGGGGGAATGGGACCGAGGGTCCCCGAGTTGGCCCGAGAGCCGCCCCCAGGGGGGGAAGGGGACCGAGGGTCCCCGAGTTGGCCTGAGAGCCGCCCCCAGGGGGGGAAGGGAATCAAGGGTCCCCGAGTTGGCCTGAGAGCCGCCCCCAGGGGGGGAAGGGGACCGAGGGTCCCCGAGTTGGCCTGAGAGCTGCCCCCAGGGGGGGAAGGGGACCGAGGGTCCTCAAGTTGGCCTGAGAGCCGCCCCCAGGGGGGGAAGGGGACCGAGGGTCCCCGAGTTGGCCTGAGAGCCAGGGGGAAGGGGACCGAGGGTCCCCGAGTTGGCCTGAGAGCCGCCCCCAGGGGAGGAAGGGGACCGAGGGTCCCCGAGTTGGCCTGAGAGCCGCCCCCAGGGGGGGAAGGGGACCGAGGGTCCCCGAGTTGGCCTGAGAGCTGCCCCCAGGGGGGGAAGGGGACCGAGGGTCCCCGAGTTGGCCTGAGAGCCGGCCCCAAGGGGGGAAGGGGACCGAGGGTCCCAGAGTTGGCCTGAGAGCTGCCCCCAGAGGGGGAAGGGGACCGAGGGTCCCCAAGTTGGCCTGAGAGCCGCTCCCAGGGGGGGGAAGGGGACCGAGGGTCCCCAAGTTGGCCTGAGAGCCGCTCCCAGGGGGGGGAAGGGGACCGAGGGTCGCGAGGTTGGCCTGAGAGCCGTTCCTCATGGGGCAAAGGGGTCCAAGATTCGGGTGTAGGTACCTACAAAAGTACGCTGGCCAGAGAAGGCACCTTCTTAGGAAGGGGGGATGTGCGTACTAAAGCTGAGATGTGGAAAACCCTAACTATGTAATGTGTTTGTTGATATGTTGTTAGAATGTATTTGTTGTTTAGCCTGCAGTGGGGTACTCTGTAGTGAGTACAACCCAATTTAGGGTTTGCTATTTGTATCCCAACTTTCTATAGTGAAACCCTTCATTCTCCTTTCCATTCCTCTCGATACTCAACTCTCTCGACACTCACTAGCTATGGCTCCTAAGTCACGCTAGGATTCTAACATGGTATTAAGAGCATAACTTTCCTAGGACCTAAATGTTAATGGGCCCACCACCTACTACCCTGCTAGCCTAGGCCCCGGCCCGTCGCCCCTTGGCGTCGCCCCTAGCCCCTAGGCTCGGCCCCTTGGCCCCGTCGCCTCGGCCCCTTGGCCCCGTCGACTCCGTCGCCCCGCGCCCGGCCCGTACTTAGCCCGCGATCGGCCCGTACCTAGCCCGCGCTCGGCCCCGCTCCGTCGCCCCGCGCCCGGCCCGTACCTCGCTCGCGCCTGGCGTCGTACCTAGCCCGCGATCGGCCCGTACCTAGCCTCGCGCCCGGCCCGTACCTAGCCTCGCGCCCGGCCCGTACTTAGCCCGCGATCGGCCAGTACCTAGCCCACGCCCGGCCCCGTACCTAGCCCCGCGCCCGGCCCCATCCGCGCCCAGCGCCCGGCCCCGTACCTGCCCAGCGCCCGGCCGCATACCTGCCCAGTGCCCGGCCCCGTACCTGCCCAGCGCCCGGCCCCGTACCTGCCCAGCGCCCGGCCCCGTACCTGCCCAGCGCCCGGCCCAGTCCCTGCCCAGCGCCCGGCCCCGTACCTTCCCAGCGCCCGGCCCCGTACCTGCCCAGCGCCCAGCCCCGTACCTGCACAGCGCCCGGCCCAGTCCCTGCCCAGCGCCTGGCCCGGTACCTGCCCAGCGCCCGGGCCCGTACCTGCCCAGCGCCCGGCCCCGTTCCTGCCCAGCGCCCGGCCCCGTACCTGCCCAGCGCCCGGCCCCGTCCCTAGCCATGGCCCCGTCGCCCCTAGCCATGGCCCCGTCGCCCCTAGCCATGGGCCCTCGCGACCTGCCGCCCCTAACCGCGGCCCCGGTGCCCTGTTGCAACATGGTGGGTGAGGGGGTGGCAAGAGGGGGTTCTTCCTGCCCGCGTGCCCTACAGTCGCACGCGCAGCTCCGCCCCCGCCCCCCTCCCCCCCCTCCCCCCCCTCCATGGGGATGGCAGGGAGAGGGTGTGAGGGGGTGGCGGATGTGCCTCAGCAGCAGCAGCTGCCGCCACGCCTCCTCCTCTCTCTCTCCCTGCCGCACCTTGTGTTGGGAGAGGGGGGGGGGAGCTTGGAGGTTCAGGGGGAGGCAGGAGGGGATCTGCAGCACCAGGTCCCCCACCCTTCTCCTACCTCCCCCTGCTGTGGGTGCAGCAGAGGGGGGGAGGGGATCTGCAGCACCGACCCCCCCCCTCATCCTTCTCCTACCTCCCCCTGCTGCGGGTGCAGCAGTGGGGGGGAAGGGATCTGCCATCCCCCTGCTGCGGATGCGGCAGTGGGGGGAGGGGACCTGCAACACCTGCACCCCCTGCCCCCCCCCCTTCTCCTCCATCTCTCTGCTGCTAGTGCAGCAGGTGGGGGAGGGTATGGGGGTGGCGGGTGTGGCCAACCTGCTGTCGCCCGAGCGGCTCCTGTACCGCCCCCCCCCCCCCCCCCTTTCTCCTCCATCCCCCTGCTGTGGGTGTGGCAGTGGGGGGGAGGGGATCTGCAGCTCCAGCCCCCCCCCCCCCCCCCCCCCCCCCCCTCTCCTCCGTCTCTCTGCTGCAGGTGCAGCAGTGGGGGAGGGTATGGGGGTGGCGGGTGTGGCCAACCTGCTGTCGCCCGAGCGGCTCCTGCACCGCCCCTTCTCCTACCTCCCCCCCTGCTGCGGGTGCAGCAGTGGGGGGGGGGGAGGGGATCTACGGCACCAGCCCCCCCCCCCCTTCTCCTCCATCCCCTGCTGCAAGTGCAGCAGTGGGGGGAGGGTATGGGGGTGGCGGGTGTGGGTGCAACTGCGGGGTGGCGGGTGTGTGAACCGTCCCCTCCTCCTCCTCCACCTTCGTCTCCCACTGCTGCAGCTGCCGCTGAGGGGGGTGGGTGTGTGGGAGCCGAGGGAGTGGTGCTAGGGGGTGGAGTGTGAGTGAATCTAAAGGTGCAGCAAGGGGTGTGTGAAAGGGGGGTGGGA